CAATAAACAAAACAAAATTTTCAGGAGAGATCATAAACAAGTATTTTGGCAAACTTCTATAAATGATCAAAGACCAAAGCTAAACATATGAGTAAATGTCATTGTAGTTGAAGGTTTACTAGACACAGGTGTAGATGTAGCAATAATTTCACCAAAATAATGGCATCTATATTGACCTCTTCAGGAGGTAAATATTCAGCTTCTAAGGATTGAAACTTTATCTCATGTGAAACAAATTACAAGATCGGTCAAGTGTATAGGGCCAGGAGGTTAGATAGGAAAATTAAAACCATATGTGGCCAACATAGCAATGAATTTATAGGGATATGATTTGTTGCAGCAATGGAAAACACAGATTAACATTCCTCCAATAACAGAAACAAACCATAAAATAAAGAATGCTTCTGAGAGAAAGATTAAAAGGTATTATCCAGAACAGTCACCAACCGTTCAGGTTATACATAAACAGGGCACAACAGCTGGTGGTCTTTCAAGGGTATCAACAGCCCAATCTTTAAAATTGTTAACTGAGAAACTTGTATGGGTGGAAAAATGGCCTTTGACATCAAAAAAATTACAAGCACTAGAACAGTTGGCTCAGGAGACGCTAGATGAACAACATATTGAAGAGCTGACCAGTCCTTGGAATTCTCCTATATTTGTCATTAAAAAGAAATATGGAAAATGGAGAACATTAACAGATTTAAGAATCTGTTAATTCTTAAATAAGGTAATTTAGCTACTGGGCTCTTTACAGCATGAAATTCCCTTCCCTTCTTTATTAACTAAAAGATGGTCTATTATAATGATTGATTTAAAAGACTGCTTGTTTACTATACCTTTACAAGAAGAGGATAGAGAAAAATTGCCTTCACAGTGCCTACTTATAATAATTCCCAGCCTGTTAGAAGGTATCAGTGGAAAGTTCTCCACAATGGATGTTAAAGAGCCCCATGCTGGGTACCAGATATTGCAACTTCTTTTATTGCTTTATTAAAAAATAAAACTTGGGAGTTAAATATTAGGGAAATAAATCAGAGAGTACCACAGAGTGATGGAGAAATGATCATCAGTTCTCTTCCCTGCTCAGAAAAGACTGTGCATCACTTCAGGCTGTTCCTTCCTCCTGTGTGTCCCTAGAGCTTCTGCTCAGTCTGCCAGAAAACTCTATAGTCCACTCTGGCCAGCTTAGTGTGGACTCTGCCCTACAAACCTAGGTCCAATTCCATTGGCAGTCTCAGATCAGCAACACAAAGAAATCTCCCACAACATTCTCCTAGTTTTAAACTACTATTCTAAACTGATACTTTCAAAGCTGGACTTTGCATTACTGAGATGACAAAGATCTTAAGGATATATTTAAAATAAGAACTTTAATCCTAGCCACAGCCTCCTACAAAAGAATCTATTGGGAATATAGGATGGGAATCTGCATTTCTATGTGGTCTATCTACAAAACACCCTTACCCAACTTGACAAGGGACACCAAATCTTCAGAGAAATTGGGAGTGTTGGAAGATCACGAAGAACAAACAGCATGATGTGAGCAGCTGTAGTGGGTAGCCATTCCAGCTTTGATCTGGAAGTTCCAACCCCCATTGAGGCTTCGGCAACTGTCACGCCTATAAGGTGGGGCCAAGGGAGGCACCTGGAGACCCAAGGTCTGGATGGGCCAGCGCTCTCTCTGTTCCTGGACCCTGGACGGTGGAGGTTGACCAAGCAGAGCTCCAGAGAACACCACTGGACTGTGATACACCTTACCCAGACCCCACGACCTACCTATCCCTTCATTTGTAAGTTACCCACTAAATAAATCTTCCTTTTTAAATACGTGGAGTGGCCTTAATAATTTCACCAATATCTGGTGCCCAACGTGGGGCTCAAACACATGACCCTGGGATTAAGAGACTCATGCTCTACCAACTGAGCTAGCCAGGATTAAGGTGGCTGGAGAGACAGCCGTGGGTGGTGGGAACCAAACTCTTATATTTTTGGTTGTGAGCCTAGCCTTTAACAGCTGAGCCATCTCAGAACCAGATATTGGTGAACACAGTTCAGCTGAGATTCATTCTGGATGAGGACTCAGAGGCTTCCAGTCTGAGGAAACAGGACCAGCTGAGGAATTGGCAAGGTGAGGTTAGCTGTGGCTTGTTCTGTCTCTCTTTTCTACCAGCATTGACCCCAATAACTGGCCTCATAGATGTAGCAGGGATCTTAAAAGTTCTTATTAATAAAATCAAACCTGAGCCAGGTATTGGGGTGAACTGGAAGATCAGAGAACCAGAACAAGCCACAGCTAACCTCACCTGGCCAACTTCTTAGCTGGTCATGTTTCCTCCGACTGGAGGCTTCTGTGTCCTCATCCCAAATGGCTCTCAGCTGAATTGCTGCTCAAAAGCCTGAATGCTTAACCAGGGTAAATGCTTCTAGTTTCTGGTACTCACACCTTATATACCTTTCTGCTTTTTAACACAACTCCCTGGGATTAAAGGCTCACTTTCTGAGATTAAAGACAAGATCATAGCAATTTTACATTAAAAATAAGTAAATAACTTCTTCCCATTGTACTAGATTCCACTCAACGACTCAAAGGGATTTGTGAAAGAGCAGAAAGTATAAACCCTCTGTGTACTAAACACTTTCTATGCAAACACACCTATGGTCCACTTTATACATTAGGCACAGTAAGAGTTCAACAACCAAAAATCAACTTTAAGAAAACACTAGGAGGGGCTGGAAAGATGGCTCAGTATACATAGGATACAAAGTCCATTCCCAATACCCATGGCAGTCAGCTCACAACCACCTGTAACTCCAGCTCCAGGTGACATGAGATCCTCTTCTGGCCTCCAAGGGCACCTGCATTCATATGCACATATATCTACACACACACACTAAAAATAAATCTTAAAAAAGAATATACTGTGGAAAAGTTGTGTAAATGTAATGTTTCTCTTAAAATAAATTACTTGGACACCAGAAGCTAGGGAATACCAATCAGTCTGATAACTAGGGAAGCAGTTAGGTGGCTAATGGGCAAGTGGTGCATATAACACAGATATTGGGACAAAAGTGATTTACTACCCAGGTAAAGAGATGTGTATTTTCAAAACTTATTAACTGTTCACTTTTGAAATTCTCCATTTAATATTTTCAGGCTGCAATTAACTACAAATAACTAAAACTTTGGAAAGGGACAATACAGAGAAGGAACTATGATTATACCAGACCAGCGAGATATGTTAGAAAAAAGGAGGGGGGCAATATAGCCCTAAGATTTCTAGAATACACTATAAGACCTACATAATAAGCAAATGTCACCTGAGTACAAAGACAGATAAACTAGCACAGAATACAAGAAATATACCTCTTGCCGCAGATAAACCTATATAGATAAAGAAAGTTTAAATCCATGGGTACAGGCAGGCTTTTAATGAATGTTTACAATAAAACTGGGGGACTTTTCAGTAACAGACAAAATTGCTTCTATATATCAAAAAAGGATTAAGAACTAAAGATATAAAGGAACAAAATGCAATGATTAAAAAACAAAACACAATGATTAAAAAAATAAAAAGTAATGTAAATAAATTTCTCTTTAAATTTATTATATAAAAATGCAATTTATGATTCAAAATTCAACATCAATAAAGATTGATGTTTCTGAAATCTCTGACAGCAAACTTTAAAAATTGGTAAAATTAGCATATTGAAAGGACGTCTTTGTGCCATATGTCACAGAGGAAGTGCTGAGGTCATTAATATATGTATCACATGAGTTAACTGGGAAATGATTTGCTCCCACTGGCCAGCCTTGGAAAAGCCTGAGTCATAGGAATAATGGTAACACTGGATAATAATGACATCATTCAAATATTCACTATCTATACTGATATACCCAAAAAGTAATAAACAGGGCAGGAAAGCTTTTCAGTTAAGCAGGATACCAAGCAATCATTAGACAAGAAAGAAATGAAACATCACTCCTGTGTAAAGGTCACAGTAATAATTTTATAAAATGTCCTGGTGATTTATAATGATAATAGGTAAAAAGCACTCAGGAGAAAAAAATATTTACATAGCTATAAAAATATATATTATAATGTATTTTACTAACCTAACCTGAATGTTTAAAATAATAGCAACATGGATTTAGAGTATATCTCAGTACTATGGCAGGCACTTAGCATGCACAAAACTTTGGGTTTGACCCTTAATACGAACCAATTAAACAAGTAAATCTATACAGTGAAATAACTCAGCATTTCTACCTTCAATGTGTGATCCAAGAAATGTCACAATAGTACACATAAATAGGACAGGCTACCCTTGACATGCTACACTCAGTAGATCCATCATTTCTCAAAAATCGTGTTCAAAACGTGGGACTACATTCTAATTATAAGAGCAGACCCACAGAACCAAAGAACTCTACCTCTCAAAAATGTTCAGGTCATGAAAGGATAGGAAATACTGTAGGCTTAGCAGAGACTGAAAGAGACATCCAAGACATGGCAACTAGATCTAACAGCCAGTGTGGTATCCTTGACTGAGTCTCTGAAAAGAAATAGAGATTGGAGACAAAGAAGATGGAATTGGAATTCAGCTGTAAAGTTATTGGGCCAATATTATTTACAGGTTTCCATAACTGTTATGGTTATATATGATACTGACACCAGAGGAAGCTGAACAATGTTTGAGAATTCCTTATACAATTTGTGCAGATATTCTTTACCCTAAAGAGAACAGGCTTTTAAAGAATTCTAACAAACTTCTGAGGCACATCAGTGATGGATAAACATACTGTTGTTATGGCAACATCCCTATTGATACTATTAAATGTATCATATTATGCACTTAAATAGGCATTATTATACTATATCTCAACAAAACCAAAAATAAAGCTTTAAATAAAATCTTTGTTTTAATGTGTTGGATTGGAAGTACAATAAAAAACAGAATGAAAAAGAGATACCAAAGAGGGTTATATGTGATCTTACCAGGTTAATTAGTTGTGTGTGAACCACGTCCTCTACTAAAACTGCTGTTTCATGGAGAGGCCTCCTAGCATCACCTAAAGAAAACCTGCGAGAAAGATTAAGACATACCATTATTAATGCTGTGAATCAGGTGAAACAAAAATATATACTTCTCATTCATCGTAAGAATCAGCTGTATAAAGAGGCTATTGTTCTCTCCAACAATCCCACAATGCACTCTTACTTCTAGACTAAGGAAGCAAATGTCTTCCTTATAAACTCTATCTTCCAAAGAACGTACACTATTATCAGCATCCCTTCTTGGTTTACAAAGTATTTGTAAAGGGGATTTGCTCTGTCAAAATGCAAAGTACAAGATCAGTTCCCAATATCCACAGCAGGCAGATCACAATCACACCTTATTCCAGCTCCAGGGAATCCAACACCTCCAGCCTCTGATGGTACCTGCATTATGGGTTGCTCCCAATGGAAGGAGAGGGAATGAAGAGGATACAGCCCCAGCCCTCACTGTAGTCCACTAATCTGACATTGGACTAAACATGCAAACCACAAGCATCAGACCACGTGATTCCTCCACCACAGCATCTTCTAACCGACCTTGAAATGAATACCCACTGGCCAAGGGGCAGATGGAGAGGTTCAGGCATGGACAGTCCTTTAGGGCAATCAGAGTCATAAACAGACCCATTACATTAGCCTTACTCTTCAATTTTGATGCTTTTAAGCCCCAAAATTTTTATCTTATCTACTTCTTCGACATGAACTTGATTAAGAAAATATTTGTGAAAGCCAATCTATCAGGCCAAAATCAAAGACAAAGAGTTTCCTTGTAAGAATTGTTTCTCTTGCTTGCTTAACTTAACGTCTTAAGATCCCCCTCTCCTTGACATGAACTTCTAACAAGTCATGGGTCAAATGTTCACATCTACTTTATAAGACGCTTTATTGAGGAATTGAAAAGACGATGAAGGCTAAGTACAATGACCAATGCTGATGTCAGCCAGCACACTCTTGTTTTAAAACCACCTCCTGGTCCTGAACCCAGTTCAATGCAGAAGATGGGACTTTGTATGTGAAGTCTTTCCATGCTGTGCAGTATTAAATGAGTAAAACTGTAAGACATTTGAGAAATTAACCGTAGTGATCATTTTCAGAAAAGAAGATTAACAAATTAACATAAAGTATTCCTGGGTCAATTACTTTGTATAATTAAATCTTTTACAAGGCTTTTGCAGAGAGAAGCAACCACTTCAAGAAAATCATTGGTCCATTAGACCCCCAAAACATTCCGTACTGCTAAAACATTATTGATGTTACTAGAATTTAGGGGGGGAAAAAAACTCAACATTTTATAATGTTGGAAATAGATGCCCTGTAACTACAACCAAATCTGTTTTCGATATTGTTTAAACAAAGTATCTGTAGGAAAGGCAGAATAGTTCCCTGATAGAGAAGGTGCTTACCAAATTCAATTACAAGCAAAATATCCCATAAAACATGCAAATATATATGAACCAGGAATCAGAGAGATTCATGAAGACTAGCAGTTATCTATGGGTTAAGATGAAGTAACACCTGATTTGGATGACTACAGAGAGAAAAGTCTGCGTTATCAGACCTTTACTTAAAAGCATGAATGAATACAAATAAACATTCTTGTAACACTTCCTTGATTTTTAAAAAACAATTTCTCAATTAAATGAATTTAGGAAATCCCAGTATTATTGTTTATAACTGAAATGCATGTTACATGCTCTGAGACATTCTCTAAGAAAGAAATGTGATCACCAATATACTTGCCATGTACATGATTATCTTTCTAAGCTATGTTAATTATACAACATTGAACATCAATTCAGGAACCTGACTAGAGGAAAAGACTCCAAATAACTTAAGGCCTTTGGCAAAAAGTTTCCAAATAAGCTGCAGCCTAAGATGCTGGAACTTTAAAGCCAAGTTCTTCGGTTTTAAACAATGAGACGATGCTGGTAATGAGAGCAAACAATGGGGCTTTTAAAGAATTTCCTTACACAGTCAACAAATATTTCTTGTGTTTCTGTCTCATGTCAGGCACTCGGTTTCTTATACTAGCTGAGACTCTTACAAACTGGGCAGCTGACTCCTGTGACTAATAAACTAACAACTGATTTTTTTTTTCAGCAGCCACCACTCAAAGTCAACCAGGAAGAGTTCCTTTCAACTAACACATCTCTGAATATTGAACAGTGTGTCTTCTCAAGAGACTCTTCTATAGAGGATGTCATACTCCAGAATGCCATTCCAGAACCTCCATGCTTTCTTACAACAGTAGATTCAGCATCTGCACCTCCGAGAAACTTCCTACAAATGTGCTCCTGGGAAGATGCAACTTCCTGTGCTGAATGATCTCAACATTCTGACACTGTCTGAGAAGCCTGCACTCATAGACCCTATCAGCTTTATCGCTCCCCTTTCATGTTTATCCTGAGGTGTTTTAACCAACAGATAAATTCAAAGGCCTGTACAATGGCCACTTGCATATATCCTATGAGAAATATCTTGATGGCATCTTAGTGCCGATGCCTCTTTCTCTCTCAAACTCAACATTTATACACATTCAACTTTATCAATACCTACTTTCCTGTAAGCCACAAATAATCATTGAGTGATTGCATGTGCCCGGCATTATTATGTGTGCTGTGCCATGTAAACCTACTGATCTCTAAGCTGCTGGTACTGTGCCTGTCCTCTGCCTCTTGGGGAGGAGATGCTCTCTACTTGAGTAGAATTCTGTTTCTTTACTGACTTCTAAACATCAAGCTTAGATGAAAATATAAAACCCTACTTCCAAAACTTTGAATAAGCATTGTTTTCAAAAGTTTTCTTTTGTTTGCTAGAGAGTATCTTTAAAAACCAGCTTGAGACACTATTTACATAGCCTGCAAACTTGATTGTTTAAAGTATACAATTGTATGATTTCTAAGTAAACTTACCGAGTAGTACGCCCATCTATACCATCCAGTTTTAGGACTTTTCTCTTGTACCCAAAAACTTTATGTCCTTTAACAATAACCCTATTCCCACCCCCAGCCCAGAGCAATCTATGAAAAGACCTAGTTGACCTCACTAGACCTCATGTTTCCCTTCCAGGTTCAACATTCCTCACTTCTTAGCATGTAGGTCTGTCTGTTTTATAGCCATTTCCTCAGAATGGAAACAGGCCATCCTGGAGGGAGAAGAGAGGACTTTACCAGGCCCAGGGACTTGAGAGAGTCAGGAGTTTCACAAGGCCGCATTCAGCAGGACAACCGTGAGGCTATACTGCTGAACCGCCTGTGTATCATGCAGAGAGGCGCAGAGTGTGGCCTTCCTGAGCACCACTGATCCAGCTGCCTTGGAGTGAGTCATCCTTGCCTGTCTGAGAAGCAACCTCAATAAGCTCTCAGGTTCAGCAACCTAGACTTGGTGGATTATTTGCTGGCCCTGTAGTCAGCACCCTTTCTAGAGAGAACAGGCATCTGTTCCTATAGCCCCAGGAAAAGTCACATGACAAGGCCTCACTGTAAATGCGACAGCCTTGGGGAGACTTTCCCAAAGACCACCACTGTCAGTTCTCAGTTTAATCATGGGAGTTTAGGATTCATTTGGTTATAGACTGAGGCCTAAGTTTTGATTTGAATAGAAAAGTTCTTAGGATTTTAATAAATAAATAACAAAAGAAACAAAACAGCCCTCCAACCTACATAGAGAACAAGTCAGCTACAGACAATGGATCCCACAGTCAACACTTTTGTGGAGTATGAAGAGGTAAACTAGCTGCAGGACTGACTTTGAGCCAGTTCTCCATCTTGTCCATAAGGACATCATGTAATACGACACGGAACACATCCTGCTGAAATTTCTACCCCATACCATGGCATTATCCCATACAGAGACAAATTATCTATGAACTGTGAACTCACTCAAGAATTAGACATCTAGAATTTTCTTGAGATTGGTGACTTTCAAGTATTTACTGGGTGTGGTGGCAGAGGCTTTTAATCCCAGCACTCTGAAGGCACAGACAGGAAGATCTCTGAATTCAGGTCCTTGCTGGTCTCCTTAGTGAGACCCTATCTCAAAACAAACAAATAAACAAAATTTTTAAATGAGTATAAAAAACTGATCATCTTTAAAAAATGTTTCCTGACTAAAACCAGCCTTCCCTCAACATTTTTAAAAGTAAAGCAAAATTATGCCATAATCCTAACATAATTATACTTCTTATAAGTAGCATTTTAGAAAAAATACCAAATAATTTATATCACTGATCAATTAATAAAACTTCCATGCATAGATTTTTCTCCTGATTATATTCACAAAAGCTGAATTATTAGTTCTGAACAATACAAGTGTGCATAAATGAAGATATAAATGAGGAAAACACTGCAAAGTCATTGTATAATTACTAAAGAAATTTGAAAATTAATTGTACAAATACCTGTGGCTGCCAAAAGGAAAATACATAATATATTCCAGTTGTACTACATAATATATTCCATTTGCTTATTCAGAAAAGGATTCAATTTAAATCACGAAGCACACAAGACAACTGTCTTTACAGAATATGTAAACTAGGCAATGATCAGTCACTTTTGTTCAGAGAAAATAAAGAAAACATTTATCTGTAGTCTCAACAATAGTCCTCAAATCAAAATGGAATTTAGTATACCCAGAAAAAATGCAGTTTCAATTTATTCTCTGAACATGTATAAAAAAGTGATGACATGAGAAAGATGTTAAGATATAATTATATGTTATGATTCTATTGAGAATAAGCATACAGCATACATTAAATGATCTTTTGGTTTCATTTTAGATTATAGACCAGAATTTCAAATTTTGGTATGTATAAATAACTTTTTATACAAGTCTACACAAACTATCATTAAAATCATATATTAAGCTGTACCACTGAAAGCTTCATCTGTACTTTAACAAGCTTGGCATGAACATATGAGGACATCTAAGTACACTGAAAATATCAGTAAAAACATACTGCTGTCCCTGGGCGTCTGCAGAGTTCTAGTTGCAAGTTTTACATAGACATGAAGATGTGAAGACAAT